TCACGCTGTCAACATGGGAAGGTCGGCACGTAGCGGTCATTGCGTTGGGGGCGATGGACAATATAGATAGGCTGTAAGCATTGGTCATGTATAAGCGCAGTTTGTGATCGCTGTCATCAGACATCGTTTGATCAGTTTGTTTGTTGCACGGTCTGATGTAGGCAAGCGAATGAACGCTTCTTCCCTTTCTGCAGGTAAGGTAGTAGGCTATTTGGTGCCTTCGCCAATATTCCTGAGGATAAACCTTTTTGGATTTCTATTTTCAAGAAGCATATTGTCTAGCTGTTGCAGTTCTGCTTCGACAGTTTCAGGAGAGCATATCCGTCGAACTCTTCGATTGGGAAATAGAGACCGACTGCCATTGGGAGTCACATCTATGTGGATTTGTCCTTTTATTTCCTTCTGTGGTGAAATGTGGAAACGTACTATCCTTTCCACCTGAGTCTCTAACAAACATCCAAGCTGCAGCAAAAGTTAACCTCTGTTGCTACCAATTTGAGCAAGTAACCGGTGCGCTTCAAAACTGAACACGTGACCTACTTTGGGGATGAGGACAACTTTGGATAGTTGATCATCCCGTCAAATACGTGGCTCTTCCAGCCTCAAGGGTGTGTACTTGAAAGGGCAGCCCATGCAGCAAGTGCGCTGCGTTGCAAAATGTTCTACAGCGCATAGGTTTTATTTTTCAAAAGGCATCTTTTAAAACTTATCGTCATGGACATCACATACAGGAAAATTAGATAGAACACATCCTGCTCCAATAGAACTCCGCATCTATAAGTGGTTTACGACTTGCTTAAAAACCCCGTCACTACTAAGTTTCCCTTGTACAATCAACTGTTGTCTTTAGTGTGCTTACTGCCTGATATGTTGTGGGTGTCAATTCCCCATGCTTTTGGAAACAGGTTTGATCTCCAAAGCATATTTTGGAAACTCTTGCCATTTAACACAAAGCGTTACCGACTTACGACTTAAAATTAATTATTAAGATGATGCTGCTGCTCGTTGATACGAACTGGTTATTTCGGCCAAAAGGCTTGGGTTTCCCGCAAATCGGAAATGGAGCGTAGTATTTTGTATCAAGGTAAACAGATATGCAGATAACTAGATATATATATATAGAATGTCGCTGATTAACTGCTTGCATACTTGTTTAGCTGCGCATTGTTTAGCCATCCTAAAGGACATATTAACTTATAACCGGCGAAATAGCTAAATTATCATTAAACACCTCCCTCATACCAGTTTGTATTTGTTCGTTTAAACTGACATAAAGGTTGATGTATAACTTCGTTTACGGCAGTAGGCTTTCCAGTCGAAGAGACCGTACTTGAAATACTTAAATAAATGTGGAGGGAAATGTTGGCAAATGCAGAACCGCAATGGTTTGATAACATTTAAATTTCAAAGCACTACACAATTTTTGGAGATTGCACAGACAACAGAATTTAATTTAACCAGGAAATTTTGCAAGTGCTTTTCAGCTGCGGCTTTCCCCTGCATAACACGAATAACGTATCAAAAAATACAAAAATCGAATTCGTACAGAAAATTCAATGCTAACAGCAAGGTCATAGGAAATGGTCACGAAGGCTAATCCATAAAAGGCAAGCAAGATAAAACACTGTGGGAACGAAGGTGGAGAAAATTGTTTAAGGCAAAAAGTGTGGACAGGGTATTGTGTACCTGAGAAAGCCAGATGTTACTAAGAAAAACTTGGGTTGAACACGTGCTCTTACTGTTTATATAGGTCGTGTTTTAACCGACTTATGTAGGCTGTTCTATGGAGATATTGGATGCGGAAACGGCCTCCCCAAGTATACTTTACGGTTTATCGATAAGTACTGGAAACTCCTACGGCCATAAATGACGCAACGGTCCCTTTAAGATAGACCGTTTTCATGTCTTCGCACGTTAAGGATGACAATGTTCTAAATACTATCAAATGACGCCTATCTAACACCATCAAAAAGACATACTTTGCGACCGATGCCATATTTGTAATCCTACCAACTGGCCACCAATTCCACGTGCGAAGGATGCTTGGCAACGCATGCCAACGGTTTCCAACGTTGAATTAGCTCAAAAGCTCACGATACCATGAGAGCATTCTCAGGGCAGGATGTTTTGCACTTTGCAAAGAAAGTGACCTTTACAGTAAAGCACTACTGTTACAATTTTATTGAGTAGTTAAGCATACACGTATGCTTTCTAGTTTGACTGAGTAAGTAAATTGTATGTCAAGAAAGCATTTACGAACGGAAAACTGTAGGTCAGTTCGTTTTTTATAAAAGGAAAACAGGTGAATTTTTCGGTGAAATTTGAGAGCACCTTTTACGCAGTCCATTTCAGCATGTCCTTTTGTAAGCAAAACGATATCTTTCGTAATTGTAAGCTGTACTATTAATGAACACCGAAAGGTTTAAGATACATCATCTGAGTAGCCGGAAAATCTGATTTTCATTAGGAAACACCAAGTGGAACCAAATGTATCGAATCGCATTCTTTTTCAGAAATGAACTCAGTTTGCAAAAAAGATTAGTTGTCCATTTCCCACACGATTGCTAAAAAACATAGTAATACTCTTTTTGATCATATTTTTATTTGGCGATTCCGACGATCGACACGGTTAACCAAAAACAAATATGATCTCGCGTAGATGGAAATTCGAAAATCATATTAAGTGTAAGCATTTGACAAGATACATTTTAAAACAAAACAGTTTCCTTTTATGCTAATTTAGAAAGAGTATGGACAGAGTATAAACAGCCTTTTGCGATATCTTAATATGCATTCCGCTCCTGTTTGGTACATTTGCATTTTCAGAACAGGGCCGACATTTGATCAAATATATCACAGCAAGCTCTAATTTAAAAAGCAATGACGGTTATTCCAGCTCCAGCCAAATTTTCGTCATTCGCTTGGCAAATTCCTCATTTTCTTAAGCAGCATACGCGAGAGCACTGCAAATGAATCTTGATGCAACATAAGGAGGTGGTGATGATATCAATTTAAGCGCGTAAATGGGTCAGATACGCGCAACTGATTCGGTGCACATTAATGTTGTACAATACACGAAGCCAAATTCAACAAGATATATCTCTGTCTTGTACTGCTTACGCTTCTATGCACTGATCGCCATCATATGTATGAATGAATGTCCCTCTTTTCATTAGGTTGTCCTTCCATACAGTGGCTTGCCTATTTCAGGATAGGTATTACGTCCCCCTTATGTAAGGTATCATACCTGAACCTCGGAATCTGTATTCAGCGTTTTAATTTTGATTTTTTTGTCGATGACGTTAACAGGAAAACATGCAACAGAAGAATCGAGCCCTTTGTGTTGTCACCTGCTGCTTTTAGTGGTTCAGTTGTTTTTTCCAGCAGCGAAAATCCTGCAGTGGCTGTTGTTGACGATGAGTCCCTCGTTGATTAAAGGTTTTAAGACCTTATTTAATCTCCTTATTCCCAGAAAATAAAGCGATTTTATTAATGGCTGTTGCATACTTATTAATAATGCATTAACTGTGATCAAACACAATTTCCTTATGCCGATAGGACAGTAAGCCGGAACATAAAATAAGGATATGAACTTAGCAGTCATTAGAATCCACTTGACTGAATTGTTTGTTAGGCAATGTTCAAAGCATTTTCTTCACCGGTGATTTTGGTCGTCTCGTCTATATCTTCTAGGAAATTGTGAATGCCAAACAACTAATACGGCTGTTTATCTGTAACTGCAAATATATGGAAGTTGCATAGAGCATACATTCTCTAAGACCATATATATTCATAATAAAATAGTTTTAAAAAACGCAGATTTCGTGGGTTTAAAGTCATCTTGCCACGTGATATTTTGATGTCAAATCTTAAAACAATAAAGCACGTTGAATATCAGTATGTCGGCAGAAATAAAAAAACGCTTTATCACCTGATTCATCTTTCACTATCTGATCCTATCTTTCTGATATATAGTGGATGAGCAAGAAACATACGGT